AAACTTTGTTTTCAAACTTCCACAAAATTTATTTTAAATATTATCACTACAGCTGTTTCGGCTGATTGCCTTTCTCAAGTGATCTATTTTGGCTTGGGTTTACAAATTTATAGTCTCTAATGAAATAGGTTGAGGAGCGGAGAACTGTTTGTCTCAAGTTGGTCATTCAGAATTATATCTGTGTTTTTTAATTTGTTGATTTCCATAGATTCTAACAAAGATAGCTTAAGGCCTTTATTTTGAATGTGAAGAATTTTAAATTTGTCATTAAAAGAATGATTATGATCTAGAAGGTGAAGTGCGTATGTCGAATCTGTTTTTCTATTCTTGAAAGCCCTTTTATGTTCTGCTATTCGTTTATCAAAGTTTCTACCAGTTTGACCGATGTAAGTTTTTGGGCAGTCGCCACATTGGAGTTTGTATACACCACTATTTAAGTGTTTTTTATTTTGGCTCTTGTTATTTTTAATATATTTGCCTAGGTTGTTATTTGTTCGGAAAGCTGGTGTTATTCCTTTCTTTTTTATGTGTTTGGCAATTTTTGTTGTTATTTTGCCTGTATATGTAATCGAGCAGAAGGTACTGGGTTTTTTCTCTGGTGGTGGAAATACTAATTTCAGGGCTTTCTTGTGTAGTTTTTGATTTAACATTTTATTAATTGTTTGTTCGTTGTATCCGTTGTTTACTGCTATTTGTTTAATTATATTTAATTCTGTCTCAAAGTTGTCTTTTGACATCGGAATTTCTGTTAATCTATGTAACATACTATGATAAGCTGCCAGTTTATGTTGTGTTGGATGGGATGACGAATTGTGTATAGTCGTGTCAGTATGGGTAGGTTTATGAAATATGGAGAAGTCATGTTTGTTTTGAAGTCTGCTAATTTTTAAATCTAAAAAATTTATGGACTGATTTTGTTCTGTTTCTATTGTAAATTGAATATGACTATGAACTGAATTAATATATGATAAAAATTGGTCGAGTTGCCTGTTAGTTCCTGTGAAACATACCAGTACGTCGTCTACGTATCTCCACCAATATAAAAACTGTTTGAATACGGGATGTTTTGAAATCTTTGTCTCTAGATGATCCATAAAAATATCTGATAACAATGGGCTTAGAGGATTACCCATTATAAGTCCTGCACTGTTATTTGTATATATTTTATTATTAAATTCAAAGTAGTCCTGGTTTATGCAAACTTCAAGAAGATGTAAAATTTCAGATGTAATTATTGGATTTGTACTATTTTGGTCTAAAAGGTTTTTTACTAGAATAAAAGTTTCTGTAGGAGGGATACTAGGAAAAAGATTTTTTACGTCAAATGAAATTAATCTGGAATTGTTAGGTAATTGAAAATGTTGTATTTTATTAACTACTTCTATTGTATTTTTTATGGTAAATTTAGGTGAAAATTTGGTGTGGTCTAAAATAATCTCTAACAGTTTTTTTGAAATTTTATATGACGGAGCTGTATAAAAAGAAACTACAGGTCTTATTGGGTGATCCGGTTTGTGTAGTTTAATGAAAGAATATAATTTAGGAGGCTGTGGGTTCATAATATTGAGGTATTTCTGTTCTATTGGATTTAGTATTGATTTTGAATTTTCTAACGCTAGCTTAATTTGTTTTTGATATTTTTCTGTCGGATCTTTGTGTAAAGTTTCAATACTTTTATTATTAAGAATTCTATTTAATTTAATTTAATTTAATTCTATTTTTTAATAATTTAATTTAATTTAATTCTTAAATAATCAAAATATTGAAACTTTACACAAAGATCCGAAGATCCGACAGAAAAATATCAAAAACGAATTAAGCTAGCGTTAGAAAATTCAAAATCAATACTAAATCCAATAGAACAGAAATACCTCAATATTATGAACTCACAGCCTCCTAAATTATATTCTTTCATTAAACTACACAAACCGGATCACCCAATAAGACCTGTAGTTTCTTTTTATACAGCTCCGTCATATAAAATTTCAAAAAAACTGTTAGAGATTATTTTAGACCACACCAAATTTTCACCTAAATTTACCATAAAAAATACAATAGAACTAGTTAATAAAATACAACATTTTCAATTACCTAACAATTCCAGATTAATTTCATTTGACGTAAAAAATCTTTTTCCTAGTATCCCTCCTACAGAAACTTTTATTCTAGTAAAAAACCTTTTAGACCAAAATAGTACAAATCCAATAATTACATCTGAAATTTTACATCTTCTTGAAGTTTGCATAAACCAGGACTACTTTGAATTTAATAATAAAATATATACAAATAACAGTGCAGGACTTATAATGGGTAATCCTCTAAGCCCATTGTTATCAGATATTTTTATGGATCATCTAGAGACAAAGATTTCAAAACATCCCGTATTCAAACAGTTTTTATATTGGTGGAGATACGTAGACGACGTACTGGTATGTTTCACAGGAACTAACAGGCAACTCGACCAATTTTTATCATATATTAATTTAGTTCATAGTCATATTCAATTTACAATAGAAACAGAACAAAATCAATCCATAAATTTTTTAGATTTAAAAATTAGCAGACTTCAAAACAAACATGACTTCTCCATATTTCATAAACCTACCCATACTGACACGACTATACACAATTCGTCATCCCATCCAACACAACATAAACTGGCAGCTTATCATAGTATGTTACATAGATTAACAGAAATTCCGATGTCAAAAGACAACTTTGAGACAGAATTAAATATAATTAAACAAATAGCAGTAAACAACGGATACAACGAACAAACAATTAATAAAATGTTAAATCAAAAACTACACAAGAAAGCCCTGAAATTAGTATTTCCACCACCAGAGAAAAAACCCAGTACCTTCTGCTCGATTACATATACAGGCAAAATAACAACAAAAATTGCCAAACACATAAAAATGAAAGGAATAACACCAGCTTTCCGAACAAATAACAACCTAGGCAAATATATTAAAAATAACAAGAGCCAAAATAAAAAACACTTAAATAGTGGGGTATACAAACTCCAATGTGGCGACTGCCCAAAAACTTACATCGGTCAAACTGGTAGAAACTTTGATAAACGAATAGCAGAACATAAAAGGGCTTTCAAGAATAGAAAAACAGATTCGACATACGCACTTCACCTTCTAGATCATAATCATTCTTTTAATGACAAATTTAAAATTCTTCACATTCAAAATAAAGGCCTTAAGCTATCTTTGTTAGAATCTATGGAAATCAACAAATTAAAAAACACAGATATAATTCTGAATGACCAACTTGAGACAAACAGTTCTCCGCTCCTCAACCTATTTCATTAGAGACTATAAATTTGTAAACCCAAGCCAAAATAGATCACTTGAGAAAGGCAATCAGCCGAAACAGCTGTAGTGATAATATTTAAAATAAATTTTGTGGAAGTTTGAAAACAAAGTTTTCAGTGTTTTATTGTTACATAAAATGAATTTCCATCAAGTAACGGTCGAATCCATCAATTAAATATATTAAAAATAACAAAAGCCAAAATAAAAAAACACTTAAATAGTGGTGTGTACAAACTTCAATGTGGCGACTGCCCAAAAACTTACATCGGTCAAACTGGTAGAAACTTTAATAAACGAATAGCAGAACATAAAAGGGCTTTCAAGAATAGAAAAACAGATTCAACATTTCACCTTCTAGATCATAATCATTCTTTTAATGACAAATTTAAAATTCTTCACATTCAAAATAAAGGCCTTAAGCTATCTTTGTTAAAATCTATGGAAATCAACAAATTAAAAAACACAGATATAATTCTGAATGACCAACTTGAGACAAACAGTTCTCCCCTCCTCAACCTATTTCATTAGAGACTATAAATTTGTAAACCCAAGCCAAAAATAGATCACTTGAGAGAGGCAATCAGCCGAAACAGCTGTAGTGATACGATTTAAAATAAATTTTGTTGAAGTTTGAAAACAAAGTTTTCAGTGTTTTATTGTTACATTTTACATTAATGTTTTTCTTGCTATACAAAGCATACAAAAACTTAAATCCATTAGTAAACTGGATATTTCTGTAATAAACTATTTTTTTTCTTTTAAAATTCAGAAAGCAAACTGTTCATGTAAAGCTGGTAATCTAACAGCATCCCAGATTGGCTTATTGCCAAGAAGTAAGGGTATTTCGTTCAAACATCTTACAAATGTGTATTATTTAAGTAATCAACACTTTTGTTTTTACTGATAATTAATAAAATAGTACTTGTTTTTAAATGAGGAGATTATAAAGCAGCAATTAGCCGTATTTCGCTATTCTCCTTCTTCTTCTTCAGCCTTCATTTATCCATTGTTGGACATAGGCCTCCTCCAGTTGCTTCCACGCTTCCCTATCTTTTGCAATTTTCATCCACTGTTTTCAAGCTACAGCTGTTATATCGTCTATCCATCTCTTTTTGGATCTTTCTATGCTACTTTTGGTTTCTCGAGGTCTCCAGAATGTTACTTTATGAGACCATCTGTTGGTGTCTTGTCTTGTAAAAAATGGAAGTTGTCGAAATAGATGCTATTGTTGGGTGTGTATCAAAAATAAAAAAATATTAATTGGATGCGCTTTAAAGAAACTGGGGATTCTGTCTGTTTGTGTGAAATTCTAAAAGATCATTGGTTGAAAATACAAACGTGAAAGTGAAGTTGTATATATTTGTGGGATTTAAAAAGTGGAAACATGTACAGGGAAACGAGCAATCTTTTTTGCAGATGAATTTGAACAGTAGACGAAAATTTAATGTGTGAATTAAAAAAAAATATTTTTCAAAGGTTATTAGCAAAAAGAAACAATATTGGCTGCGCAGCTTTCAAGGTGTTTTATAAATATTTTTTTTTTTTAAATTTATATTTCTTTTATTTCCTTGTACTGCTATTTAATTTTTTTAACCTATATCCTTCTGTTTATTAATATATTTTAGGGAAAAATGTCCAATGTGTTAAAAAAAAATACATTGAAACTATGCTTACCTCTTTTGTCATGACATCAAGAAAATCTTCAAATGTTGTAGCCCTTTTTAAACCACATAACACTCTCATATCATTATACGTAGGCAATCCATGGTCCCTGGATCTTTGAATATCTATACTTTTTGTATCTTGTCCAAATATTAGGTAACGCATGAACATGTGCCTCGTAAACTATAAAAGTAGTACATATAATTGTTATCTAGTGTCCATACAATTATTTAATACCTACATCAGAGTCATAGTAAATATCTGAAGGCATGCTGGGTTGTAAGAACAGCCCCCTAACTAATCCGTCAAAAACGTTAGATTTTTCCAATGCAACAGGTCTATGTAAGTGATCCCTTAATACAAGATCATCATATCTGCAGCCATTTTCATTAAATAAACTAAAATAATAAAGTAATTTTAAAGTAAAAAGTTAGGAGTCAAAATTGGCTTATATGCATGTATATTTATGTTTTTATATCCATGGTATTTCATAGAAAAACTTGAAATAAATAATATTTGAAAAATTAGTATAAGGAGTTTTTATTTCTTATATGCTCAATTCATCTAAGATATTTAGAGCTTACTACAACTTCCGGTTATACCGAATGTTAACTTTACTATATTCTCTCCTCTTGAAAATGATAGCACGAACCCTCTTACGTATAGCATTATCTTCAATAAACCATAGGCGCAGCATATAACAACGTGATATGTATATAAGTAAGGTTAGAATACTACGTAGTAATAGGGTAAGTAGGGTTCTGCGATATGTAGAATATGTGTTAGGGATGGCGGTTTTTGACAAAATCACCGGTTTTCGGTTATACCGGTTTTTTTTTTTCTTACGGTTTAACCTGGCGGTTATAACCGGCCAAAAAAACCGGTTTTCTCCAAAAACGTTTTCGGTTTTTTTAATCTAATGTGTTACAAAGTTACATTTACAATGCATTTTAGTTTGCGATACTTCAATAAACTCGATATCAATATGATCAAAATTAGTATTATCGAAAGAACATCACTATCCATATAAATAAAACACAATTTTTAATAAAACCATTTTATTATATTAATTATTATATTTATTTATTATTTTATTATTATTATAAATTTATTGATTTGTCATGAAATATAATATAGCGTAAGATTAAAGTATAAGTAGAATGAAGTAATATTTTAAGTAAAAAAGTATAGGTTAGAAGGTAACAAATAGGTTATATTATATGAAATGGATTTAACATTATGTTGGCCAGTATTTTTTATGAAGCCTATTAAGAAAAACTCGTTCATATATATGTTGGTCGGTTAAGCGGCTTCTCTCATCTGACACAATATCATTCAATGATGACACCAGTCTCTCTGATGCCACCGATCTTCCGACCAGCGACATGTATTTTTTAGCTATAAAAGCTAAGCCTGGCATACAGGTTCTGTGCTGCTCCCAGAATGAAAACGGAACACTTAATCTCGGCAGCAAAGGCTGCTGCAGATATAGAATCAGTTCATTTGAAAAAGAACTTTGGATCCGTGTGTCCTGAGAACTTGAACTGGAACCACTGTTCACCAACTTCAGATCGTGTGAAGACCAAAGAGGGTTTGATTTTAAACTTACTTTGGCTTCTTTATTCTGGAAGGAGCAGAAAGGAGAAAGTTTTCCGATTTTGGTAAGGTATGTCCTTACTTCCGAGCCTAAATTGAATGTGACTGTCTCCGCTATAGGCGGATTCAGATATAGTTTTTTGAACCTCGGGTCCGTGATTGTAGCATGGCAAACCAGGGGGTTTCGTAAAAGCTTAGTGCCTCTCTCTTGAAGGTTAGCTATAAGCTTTTGGCATAACTTTTGGGCTGTATTAAGATTTGGCTTGAGGTTTTTTAAAGATGTTTCGATAATAGACACAAGGGGGATAACAAGACTAGCAGGAATGTACTGGAAACCCGAGATCTCCTTTGTGGCCTCATCAAAAGGTGATAAAATTGTTACAGTTTCAGTGATTAGTTTTATATCTGAATCAGAAATCATCCCTGGTGCTTTTTTAATCGAGGGATCTGCCAGTATTGCAGCCGTATATGGGGACATTAGTGTGAATCTTTTAAGCATATGGTAGAAAGAATTTCATCTGGTTGGTACGGATTGTACCAAAAGCTTCACTTCACCCTCTGACTTCTGCTCCTTCCCAGAGCAGGAGCCTCCCGCTCCTGCTCTATCCGTAACCTTTCCATGAAGAAATTGCTGTGCCTAGCGAAAGGACCTATGGCTTCTATTTCATTTATTACATTTTTTAATGCTACATTGTTTATATCTTCTAGGCCATCTGTGACAACTAAATTAATATGTGTAAAGTGAAGCCGAGCTTACACTCGCCTCAGAAGCAGATGAAGATGCTTTCTGGTCGCCTCTATGCAAAAAAGTTCCGATGTCCGCCAGTTCTTTTTCCTAAGCAAAAACAAAATTCCCCTATTAATTCCTTTACTTAATTTTTTCTATAAAATGAGCTTAACTTTGGCTTATTTTCCAGATATCTTGAATGTTTATTTTTTAGGTGCTGCCTCAAATTCGTCGTGCCTTCTCCTTTTTTTTTAATATTTTTAAACAAATAGAGCAAATGTTGCTACGCTTGGAAAATAAATTGCACACAAACGATTTCAACATGGTAAAAATGAAAAATTCGAAACTTGAAGATAAAAAGAAACGGCGTTATTACTAGATTTATTTAGGCATCCCTAAAGCATAACTACTGGTCTTCAATGTCGTCATGGGAATTACTTAATTACTTGGATCGAAATTACATTTGATTTGTGTAAATCCCAAAGATTTGTGAATTTTAGTAGTCAGATGTAGAGAACAGTAAACCAAAATTATTATACTACTGCTCAATAGAGAGCGCTGAAATAATTCAGGTTCTATTGTCATTAAATATATTATGAGAGTAGAATATAGTATGCAATTATTGTATGTAATTAAATAATGCAAATTTATTTTTACCCTTTGAAAATTTAATCCTCTAAAATACCCAACAATTTTCCTCTCCTCCCAAACCCGAAAAATTCCCCAACCATTTCAACTTATAAAAAATTTCCCAGACTATTCAAATGGGATTTAAAAAAAATAATATCAACATAAATATTTTACTTAAAAATGAATTGGATAATGCAATTCATTTCATATTTTTACTACCATCAAAAAAAATTTATCATGTATAAGTTTTAACACGTTTGTATATTTGTTTAATAGGTACATTAACTCTATTGTTTTGAAAACGTAGGGAATTCCTTGTAAATTCGTATTCGTATTCGGTAATTCGATATTCATAGTCTAATGTTTGGTAATCAGAAAAAGACATTCACCCACTTTCAATGTCAAGAGCATGCAAGTGTGAAAAATATGTAATGTACTTCTTATGTAAATATTATGATTACAAATACCTTTTCAACGAAATATTATAACAAAACTTAATTGTTTCTGGCTGATATGAGATTGCACTTTCAGTTTGCTCCTGTATTTATAATATAAAATAAAATTTGAATTATGGTTTTGTTTGGAATAATTACTTAAAAATAATAATTATGATTGGAATTCAAAATAATACCTAAATAATAATAATAAAACTAAAAAACCTAATAACTGGTTTTTACTTTAAAATAAAAATCGGTTATAACCGGGACATAAAAACAACCGGTAAAACCGGTTATTGCGAAGTAAAAAAAACCGGTTTTCGGTTAAAACCGGTAGGTTTTTCTCATCCCTAAAATGTGTATTTATGATTTTGCATAAATAACAAATGAGAAACTTGAAATAAAACTGTAGTACTGGATAAAAATATAAAAAAAATATTGACGAAAAGGTAAAAAAGAAATAATTAACTTACTCACAAACAATACCGTTTTAAAATAGACTCACATAAGCAACACATTCATGATTTAAATATTGACAAGTTTTTTGACAAAATGCAACAACTGAACAATTGTTTTTATATGTAGTGACACATAACAAAAAGGATACACTTTTATAAACAAAAAGTAATTTACTTGCAGTCACTGCAAATGCAGAGGCGGTGTTCGGCGCAGACCATTTTCGGACAGTGCTTAGATTTATCGCGCTCTTTTCGATATTTGCTTCTTGGGCAAAAGTCACAGCGACCCATTAAACCTTGGGTCTTTTGTTCCATTATTTCTTCATCTTCACAATTTAAAATGTCTTTGATACTGCTGCAGATTTGTCTTGAAAAGTGATTATTATACAAACGTCGTTATTTTAAACAATATGGAGCTAAAATAAACGACAGCTCCTTTAAGAATTTTGATCGAGATATTGATTTATTAACATTTAGTTTATGTATGTCGTAACTGTCGACTCCTGCAATATTCAACATGCCATAGAGAATTCGCAATGGCCAGCTGCAAGTTTTTCTGGTCACTGTTGTTAAATGGCAGAGTTGATCAAAGGTCTACACCACCTTTTCTACTATTGTAGAACAAGATTATCTCTGGCTTTTTCGATTCTTTGTCTTCATCGTATTGAGTATGCATAGACGATAGAAGAATGACGTTTTCAATATTATTTTTTTAACGAATGACACAGAAGTGTGTTTCTCATCAAAAGAAAATAAAGATGATGAATATTTTGTTTCAATTAGTTGTGGTATTTCTGACTTATTTTTACTAAGCGTTTCACTACATTAAGGCCTTTTTCTCTTAACACTTCTTATACTTATTACGAATTGAGTCATATATTGAAGATAAACAGCTATGATATCGCGCTTCAGCCATCTGGTCTGGCCGTGATGTATCCCTTTTTGTGCGGATGGGCTGTGGTTTTTGGTTCTTAACTGAATATATTTCGGGAACACTTTACTTTGTACACACATATTTAAAAACTAGATGTTTTTGTCCCCACTCTACGTTTCAGCTGTAATCTTGAAAACAATATGGTCAAAAGTCCTGTACTGACTTCTGTTAAATAATTGATGGAATCGACCGTTACTTGATGAAATTTCATTTTATGTAACAATAAAACACTGAAGACTTTGTTTTCAAACTTCCACAAAATTTATTTTAAATTCTTATCACTACAGCTATTTCGGCTGATTGCCTTTCTCAAGTGATCTATTTTTAGCATGCGTTTACACTTTATAGTCTTTAATAAAATAGATTAAAGAGGGGAAAACTGTTTTTCTCCAGTTGGTCATTTAGAATTATTTCTGTGTTTTTTAATTTGTTGATTTGTTGTTTTTTTAATGTGTTGTTTGATTTGTTGATTGTTTTAAATGTAAAATTGGAAGCCAAAAGAAGCCCAAATCATTTTTTTAAGAAATTTTAACACGTTTACTACCATAATATGTTTATTTAAATATTTTATTAGCATTCACATTAGTTGGTTTTTATTTTTGTACACTTTGTAATTTTTTTTTTAGATAAAAGAAAAGGAATGACAAATTGCTTACCCCATTTTACCAGCAATAAGTGAATGAAATTGTCTAAGAGCTCCATGAGCTGCTTCGTTATAAATACTTGGTTTCACATTTTCATCGTAGTCGTCTATATATGCGTTATAATATGCTTTATATATAACTCCATTCTCTACCAGAGCTTCGTATCCAGCGTACAATGGTAATAACTCATAATAGGTTATGTGCTGCCATTGTGCTATATTGATGGCCCGAGCTGTCTGTAATCATTAAAAAATAAAAATATATTACGTCTTAAAATATACTACCACTATTCATCCCTCTTAAAGTCGACCAAAGATTATCATAAGAAAATGACTGCAAACGGAATTAAAGAATATTTCTTTCAGACGGTAAGTAACATACCACAAAATTTTGTCACAGTAATGAATAATGAATTTACCAATCCCGTTTAATTGAAAAACTACCAACTTTGGTACTACCAACTCCAAACAACAATGGAACGAACAATGTTAGGTATACAACTGTCAGATAAAAAGAGGAACGACTGGGTAAGATCCAAAAAAAACGTCGAGGACATAACAACAAAAATTGCCAAACTTAAATAGATCTTCGCGGGCCACACTGTTAGACAGAAAGACCAACGTTGGAATACTACAATACAACATTGGAGACCTTACGAAAGTAAACGACCAAGAAGAAGACCACAGATGAGATGGGTTGATGACATTAAAAGAATAACCGGAACAAATTGGAAATATGTTGCTCAGGATGAAGACCGATGGAAGGAATTGGGAGAGGCCTATATTTAAACATGGACGACAGAAGGCTAAGAAGAAGAAGAGCAACTTTGGTGTAGAAAAAAGCATATGATATTTGATTGGCCTGGAGGGCTCTGTATAAAGAAAACAAGGTATCCATTAAAGCGAGAACAAGAATCATAGGAGACTTCATCACAACAAAAATTATCCTGCATTGTTGTTCCACATCTCCAACCCTATTCAAAATATAGGTACTTAGAGGAATTTTGACTACATGGAAAAGAAAATGCGAAGGCATGGAAGTACAGGACCGGAACGAATACCTATATAAGTTAAGCTTTTCAGATGATCAAGTAGTGATTGCACAAGACCAACACGATCTCAGCTACATGAAGAAGAAACTACGAGAAGAATATATCAATGCTGGCCTAGTTATTAACCTTGCGAAAACAGATTACCTATACCATTTTTCAAAGTAAAACATTTGCACGTCACGATTTCTATAAAGTAACGTCACTTGTATTTAAAATTTCCAGAACATCAACCTTAGAGTTCAAATTTTCCTAGCACAACTAATAATACGAAACCCATACGGAACTACTCGATCTTTCATAGGCGTCAACATGGTAGAATAATCAGAAAAATGTAATTATCATTATATGGGAAATTTTTGAATTATATTGATTAAATAACCAAAAACATTTGTTATTATTAATATAAATTTTATGAAATAATTCTTTAAGTCTAATATTTGACCAATTAATAATTTTAATTAAACATATTAGACAATTGTACGCAACTGATGCGGGAATACTTCAAATTTTTTTGACAGTTTAGCGGGTGGCAAAAGTGTATTGAGTGTTGAGGTTTTTTTAGAGTAGGAACTTTGTTTATGTTTTGATTTCTTACACAATTTGATCATAATATAATATATATTATTAAATTGTATTCATAAATACATAATAAATTTATATTAATAGCTTTATAAACTAATAATTGTTGTGTATTGTGATTGTGATATGCCAAAACAAATAAATAGTCTGTAGAAAGCTGATAAGCTTTCATATAAGATAAATTATTTTGAACAAGAAATAATGGCGGGATGTTTTTACTATTAAAGCCCTAAAAGATTCCCCTAAAGTTTAATATTAAGAATATATAATTTTGTAATAAAATGTTTCTCTATGTATTTTATTGTGCTGCAGTGGTCTTATAACTAAGTGTATTTACTGTTAATATAATAGTTTGACAAATAGTTGACATTTTAAAATTTCCTCATTTACTAACTATTCTGATGTTTTGGTAACGCTGTGGGGTTCTGACGACGTAAATCTTGAATGACGTGCAAGCTTTTTTATCTGAAAAATGCTATATCTACAAGCGAAGAAGACATAGAAAATCTACAGATTTATGACAACTTAACAATCAAAGGAAAGGATAAATTCACGAAAGGATAAAACACGAAAAAGGCAACAACAAAGAAAGAAATTACGCAAAGATTAGGACAAACAAAAACATCAATCCGATAACTTAACTCCATATGGTGGGATAGACACCTAAATATGAAGACAAAAACAGATATATAAAACATAAGTGTAAAGTATTATGATACATGGGCCTGAAAATTGGATTATAAACAAAAAAAAACAGCAGTAAGACAGTAGCAACAGAGATGGAATGAACTGCGAAGATGCTGCAGAGTAAAAAGAATGGATGGGAGAAGTAATAAAGAAATAAAGCAAAGAACATCAGTAGAAACAGACATACCAACATAACGCTGTCCCCGTGGGACATTGATGTAAGTGCAAATTTATCGACCGATTTAACTTGGTTACCAGACACCAGACATCGTTTGGTATTATGCTGTGATCAAGAGTGTTGTTAATGAAGTCTCCAAATGCTGTTTCGTCTTGTGGGCGTATCCAGTGAGATAGAGTTACTCTAGTTAAATAAATAAATAAAAAAGATTCTTTATTTATTAAAATAATATGTTATTTTGAAACTGCTTGTCATCAGCAAGTCGAAACTTTGGGAATATCATTTATTTTTTTAATTTTAATTTTAGTTTTTAAAAATATCTTTAAATTTTGGCTGAGCAATCCCAAAAACAATTTTTAAAAATCTACTACTTTCATGTGTTTACAACACTTACCTGAAAAATTCTTTCATCATCCCAAGTAGGATTAAGTTTTAAAAGTTCGTTAGCTATTCTGTTGTGTTCCCGCATCCAGACAATGGTGGTGACAGTAAGTTGCGGATTTTGATTGGTTCTAACATCCCCTAAAAGAATAACACTCCTAATATTCCAGTTTATAATAAATATATTATTGCTTTAAGTAACCATTTCTTTTTAGTCCACTTCGCTAGTTCAATTAGCTACATAAATAAGAACACTTCTTCTGTCATGAAAGAAGGGTATCCATAACAACCGAATAAATTAAAATACCAAATGAAAAGTGGTAGATACATTTACAAATGTTAAAAATTTAAAGACTCTACTACTCTTTTTAACTACTGTTTAGTTTAGTTAAGTTTAGTTAAGTTAACTACTGTTTTTTATCGTAGATGCATTTTCTCATATTGTAGATCTCAGGCGATGTTTGCAATGTTTTCACCCTTTGCTATAGGTTGTGTTCTGAACATTCTACTATTGAAGGAAACAAAAAAGCGTCCTACTTACCTGGAGGGGGGCAAAAGAAATATGCAGGTGCTCAGAGATTCTTTGATAAAGCAAGAAGCGCAGCCAAAAGAACGATATGGAACTGAGCGAAACAGATGAAACGTAGTGCACGGGTACAAATGACTATTAAACATTTGAAGGCCATTATACATGAACAAGAATTATCTGCGAGCAATCGTAGGTCTCCTTACAAGACACTACGTCTTATGAAGTATATAAATAAAGTCGAACTACCAGAATTTCTGTTAAACTACCATGTGTTGGACAGAATAAGGCTTGGTACATTTGATCATTATTAACTTTAGCTCTACAGTGCTAGAAAAGTATCACTAAAGGCCATAAAAAAACTTAAAAACGGCTAGGCCGAAAGGTTTTAACTTAAACGACTTTAATTGAGCTGCAATAGACCTCTAATGTCGAATGTAAGGGTGTGCCCCCTCCTCTTTAGCAATCTCTAAAGTCCGAATAGCTACGATGATTGTCAACTTCCCTCGCGAAGAAGCACTTAAAGAAATGATACTAATACTCAATTTCTGATAAGCAGATGCATTTTTTTTAACTCACCTGAACGATAGCAGTATTCTCATTCTTTAATAATAGGGGACAGCCACTACGAGGGGCGCTTGGGGCCATTCCTGATCTTTCCTTTTTTCTGTTAGGAGTAATCCATTCTCAAATGTCCGTAAAGTTTTAAGAGTTTCATCGTTGCTACCATAAATAATCGACAAATCCAAACTAGCTGTTACTTGCGTGATCTAAAAAAAACGAGATTTGGTATTACCGTAACCTTTATAGTGATTAACGATGTCCAATTAATTTAAAATTAGAAACAATTCGTAATTGGGATAGAACTGTTAACAAATTACTTGGTTAAAGTAATAAATTTACCAAATTACCCGATATTTATTATAGTTATTCTCAGAGCCTTCGTTATATACTCTTTAAAATGTATAAAATTTATTGTTTATTTATAATTTTAACAGCGTTGCAGTATTTCTTTTCTTCAAGACTTTTTGATATTTCATTTATCATTCGATGGACTTGTAAGGAGTGTAGTAATTTTCCCGAAAACCAAACTGATGTTTTGGAAGTAATGTTAGGAATTCATGACCTACGTATATCCTCTGTAGCAGCATTCTTTCAAAAACTTTGCTTGCGGTTGGGAGTAGGCTGATGGGTCGATTAGATATTACATGGTAGCATTTTTAACAGTATTTTGAGCTAAAATCACATATAGCAATAACCTTTATTAGCTCCTGGCAAGGATTTCTTTTAGTATAAAGTAGTTATTAATTTGCAGATCTCTAACAACAAAAAAAATTCAAAGAGTGATTAAGCTTAGCAAAAAAAGCCATTGTCTGATCAAGAACTTATACAACTTTTAGCCGAGTCAATTGCGAAGATGATCCAGACTATATTGACGAAGCTAGCTCTAGTGATAACTCTTCAAGTAGTTACAACTATCAAAATTCCGTGCCTTTTTGAGTTAACCCTTCTCAATCTCCATCGACACCACCATATTCCTGGTTTATTTGTTAACGTAAATAAAATAGAACCAATCGATTATTTTAACCTATTAGCAGCTGATGATTTTTACAATGATCTTTGTGCCAAAGTTAAGTTCCGTAGTTAAATCAAGAATTGCATCTTGGAAAGATATTACTGTTGACGAATTAAATAATTTTTTTGAGTTTGCTGTTTCATATGGAAACAGTTCAAGTAAATTGACTCGATATGAAGAAGCACTATATCTTTAATTTGACTGCTTGTTCAAGCTTTATAAGCTGAAATATATTTTTTTTCCTATTTTGGGAGCTTTGAAACTCAAAAATCGCCAAAATCAAGTTATTTGAATACAAATCGGAAAAATAAAGCCACTTATTTATCTTTTTTTTTAATGATAGAATGAATGCCGTTTATTACTCCAATAACGAACTTTCATTATATAAATCCATGATCCTGTGTATCAGCAATACATCAAAGGGAAACAACAAAATTAAAAGTGAAACTGGAACAAACCATGAAGTGGAGATATCCAGGAGTGGCTAGTATACCTGTTGAATACAAAGCACGTGGTGGTCGTGTGTATTAAGGTAGAAAAAAATGCTTATTAAAAGCTTAAAACTTTTATTTTAAAGAAGATCTTTTCGGGATAAACTCATTCCATCATCAGTTTACTAAAAGGGAGAGTAAAAATACCAATATTAAAAAACAAGTAAGTTAAAATTTAAATATACAAAAAGAACACGTTGGTTGTTTACTACTTACATAAAAAACAGTCAAAAAACATTGTATGGCCATGTGAAGACATTACTTCAGATTCCCCATCTTACTTCTCATTACCATTTTACTGTCCAACACTCTCCGAATCAATCAAAAACACTATCTTGAATTCTGTTGAAAATATTAAGATTTCCTTTAAAGTTAACAATAAATTGAGTAGATCATTAGGAAATAATAAGGACTCTATTGACTTCAGTAAACGCAGTGGAGTTTATAAACTTCAATGTTCTGACTGTGATGCCACTTATATTGGTAGAACTTGTAGATCTCTAGTAACCAGGGCCATTGAACATTCCAAGTTAGAGAACACCTCTTCTTTTTCCCATCATCTCAAATATCACAATCACACAATCAAGGTACCAGATGATATTTCTCTTCTTGATAACATCCCAGGTAGAGATTATCTCAAATTTGATCTTTTTGAGGATTTGGAAATAGTCGAGGAAAAGAAAATAGCCCCAATTGTGTTAATCGTCACACCAGCATCAAAAGAGACTTCGTTCCACTCCATCAGCAATTATTCTCCTGATCTAACTCTCTTTCTTTTAACCACACATCCAGTCTGACTTACTTCTACATTTCTTTCTACTTTTCCATAACTCATTATCACCCTATATAATCCACCAAACTCAACTCTATTCTTGTCACCATTAATACACGTACATCTCCCTTTTCCAATATCCAATTTCCTATCCTCTCCAATAACTACCATCTAACTAATCACATAGGTTTTCTTAGAAATACTCATTTTACATCCATCAATCTCTTACCACAATCAGTTTCAGTATCCCCAGCTTACATCTTTACATTAATATTCTATTCCTTTTTCTTTCTTTCTCTTTTATTTCTGTTTGCTCGATTCATCTTTCATAAATTTCAAAGCAACTTTTATCTATATTTACTTCATACAAGGAAACAATTAGGTAACAACATTCCTTTTATCGCCTGTAAAATGATTTATTAATTTCAACTACATAAATTAACCCCCTCTGTGGCTCAGTGGTAAGAGCGCCTGCCTTTAAACCTAAAGGTCGTGAGTTCGAATCCCACCTGGGTGGAAATTTTCGTTTATTAAAAAAATTAATAAATGAAAATAATTTCTATCCTTGTATGATCGGTACACACCGGAGGGAACGCAGACGTTAGGATACAATTAGCGTCTCTTAGCAAAGACAATGACGTCGACTTTGCTAAGTATCAAGACAATTACTCTACACACACAAACACACTACATTAATAAACTTATCTTGATTGAGACTGGCTGAATGACAATTGTCCAAGCTAAAACACAAAAAAAAACTACCTAACTTAAATTTTGCCTTACCCTGGTATACCAAATTTATTTTACATCACAGTCACTCATTGTTTTAATTCTTCCACCTTTTAAAATATCAAAAATTGCTATTGATTCTACTACACCCTAAACACAAGTCTTCACTAAAAACGATCTATTCACAAACTTAAGCACAATGACTTTTGCTCCTACTACATCATTCCAATTGACATTGACGGGTACTGACTGATTTTTCATACCATCTTTCTTCAGTTAGCCCTAGACTCCAGCACAGATCAGGGGTAATGTAAGTCAGTAAAACCTCACCAACTACAGGGGGTCATGTAAGATGCCCCCGTTTTCAGTTTTTAGTAATCTACAAATCAACAGTCTATTGCATTTACCTTCATAAACACCTTGAGGATAGTTTTTTAATACGGAGTTCTCTACTATGTTTTCATGTGGTCATACAATGTTTTTTTGACAACTTTTTATGTAAGTAGTAAAAAACCAACGTGTTCTTTGTATATATTTAAATTTTAACTTACTTGTTTTTTAATATTGGTATATTTACTCTCTCTTTTAGTAAACTAATGATGGAATGAGTTTATTCCGAAAAGATGTTCTTTAAAATAAAAGTTTTAAGCTTTTAATAAGTATTTTTTTATACCTTAATATAGACGACCACCACGTGCTTTGGAAACAAAAAAAGTTTGGTGTAACTTATAAGTAAGTATAACGATTTTATTTCGGGGTTAGACCATACTGATCAAATGCTATCTTACTACAGTTGCAAGCCTAAAACTATTTTGTATAAGAAAGTTGCTATCCATATATATCAGATCATGCTCTTAATTTGATGGTTTCTATAAATCAGCAATACTTCAATCAACTTAAATTACTGCGATTTTTGGCTTACGGTCATTAAAAAATTACTTGGGTTACCACCTACAGAACCCATCCCAAGATTTAAAGTATACCATCTGCGAGAATATTTCCCAAAGGTGAAAATGGAAAGGCAAAAAACGATGTTAAGACTAATGGTAAAGTCAGAAAGGACTCCGTTTACTATTGCTCCAAATGTTCTGAAAGTCCCAATGGTCTAAAACCACCGAATATTGAACAGATATTTTACTTCATATTGGAAATTATAACGAAAAAAAAAGAAAATTTTAATTCATTTTGGACATAAAATATTTTATTAGTTTTAATTGATGCATTACTTATTATAAAAAAGCAATTTTACCCAATTTTAACATTGACGCAAGAAACACGAAATCTAAAATCGATGATAGACTACATAATAATCAAAAAAGATACCACAATAAAGATTAAAGATGTGGGAGTCAAAAGAGAAGCAGAATGTGAAACGGACCATAAACTACTGACAACAAAAATGGGCATTAATTGGAAACATAACAAGACTCCCTCTGCAGAACAAACGTTGAACACTATAAGAGAAAAACAATACAATATAGAACTTACTTTAAGAACAATCAATAAGAAAACTATACCAACAAAGTCTAGAACCAAAATTAATCGAATTTAGATACGGTAACATCGAAGAAATATAAGAGCATATAAAGAAAAGTACAAAACAAGAAGAATTCGAAGCCCTTGGAGAAAAAGAACATATAATAAATAAACAGGACTATTATGAAATAAATGAACCAACAAAAAAAATAATTGAAGAAAAAAAGCAACTGTACAGAAAATGTCTGACTATAAACAACGATGAAGCTTATAAAGAATATAATGAAAAAGATAGAGAAGTAAAAATACAAATAACACAACACAAGAATGAAAAATTGGAAAGATCATGCTTGAATATTGAAACATACATAGGAGGTACAAGAACTTCGGAATCATGGAATCGGAATAACAGATAGGGAAATGACAACGGCCATAAAAGCAATCAAAAACAAGAAAGCACCGGGACCTGGAGGCATCTCACCTGGGCTTATAAAATATGGATCAAAAAAATTACACTGGATGATACAATGGATATTTCAGAAAGCCAGAAATTGAGAACAGCTCAAAAAGGAACGGATGAAGGCATATATGACATCTATATTTAAGAAAGGAGATAGATAACGATGCTAGAACTACAGAAAAATAAGCGTAATATCATCAGTAGAAAGATTATATGGAAAGATACTGCGAGAAAAGATAGAGCAAGCGATAAAAGGCAAAAACGAGGAGGATCAGGCAGGCTTTACGCCAGGAAGATCGTGCATAGACCACATATACACACTGGAACAACTGTTGGAAAAGAAAAAAGTAAAAAATAGAGATATACTTTCGGCATTTGTGGACCTCAGAAAGGCCGATGACTCTGTACCAAGGTCAGAACTATGGAAGGCAATGGACAAATTAGAAATACAGACAAAACCCATAGAAGCTCCAAAAGCTGTGTAAAAAAAAATAAAGTGTCCATTAAATTTTGAATAAGAATCATAGGAGTCTTCATCACAACAAACGGGCTCCTGTAGTATTGTTTTACATCTCCAACCCTTTTTAAAATATACCTAAAGAAATCCTTGACTACATGGAAAACAAAATGAAAAGGCATGGGAGTACCGGCACAGAACGAATACCTATATACGTTAAGCTTTTTATACGATCAAGTAGTGATTGCACAAGACCAAGACGACCTCAGCTTCATGACGAAGATACTGCAAGAAGACCACTAAGTCTGGCCTAGATGTTAACCTCGCGAAAACAGAGTACCTATCTACAAGTAAAGAAGACATAAAAGAACTACAGATTGATGACAACGTAACAATTAAAGGAAAGGAAAAATTCAAATACTTGGGGTTTATATTCACGAAAAAGGCAACAACGGAGGAAGAAATTACACAAAGATTAGGACAAACAAGAACAGCAATCCGACAACTTAACTCTGTCTGGTGGGATATACACCTAAATGTGAAGACAAAAATACATATTTATAAAACATTAGTGCGAAGTACATATGGGGTTGAAAATTTGATTAAAACTAAGAAAAACAGCAGTAAGATAGTAGCAACAGAGATGGAATGCCTGCAAAGATGCTGCATAGTAACAAGAATGGATAGGAGAACTAATGACACAATAAAGAAAAGAACATCAATAGAAATAGACATACTTACATATATAGAACAAAAAAGATTAAGGTGGTATGGACATGTAAGAAGAACTAGCGACAGCAGATGGACAAAGAGAATAGCCGAATGGAGCCCCCTGGGAAGGAGGAAAAGAGGACGACCCCGAAGATCCTGAAGGAACGAAGTAGACGACGCTATGAGTAAGAGAGGCCTAAACGATTAAAAATGGGACAACAGAGAGAGATGGAAGCGGTTCAGCGAAGGAAGGGAGTGAATACTGTAGAATCCCTGAATGTATATACAATTTTTGTTGTTAATATTAATATTAACCGCATTTGTTATTTTCACGGTAGTATTTATGATTATTTAATATACTAACTTGTTCCTCATATTGCAAATCTTCTTCACAGTGATCTTCTCGATTAGTAGCAGTTCTAACAAGTGGAATACACGTGATGTCCACGTCGGAATAATCTGGATCTTCTGGCGACACTTTGATATTCGCACACTCCATGGGTGTATCCTCTACATCTCTATAATATGCTGTGCAACAGTCTAGTTCTGTAGCATTTGCTAAAATATAGTTGGTTATGTTTATGATTAAGTTTTTTATAAAGTTTTGGAACATTATGTTTTATTGGTTGCTTATTTTTGAATGTTTATCGATATTTTATTTTAAAGTAGTACAGAGCGCGTTTCTACTTTGTAAAGTTAAACTAATAAATTTTTAAGTAACATAACTATGGAGATAATAGTTTTCTCACAAAACAGGAAAATCTTAAATATCATTATTGTGAGTAGTCAAGTAACTGTCATAGTCCAGGCTGTGGGGGAAAAAGGGTAATTTTCCCTTTCCCTTTTCCCTGAATCCAGGAATTTATTTAATGTAACCTAGGTTATAAAGAGCAACCTCAGGAGCAATCCCCAGTTCATTCAACAAAAATTTTTGGTTATTGTTTATTTATGAGCGTTTATAGGTGCAAAATACGTATTTTTTGAGTTTTTTTCATTTTTTGCCTAAAGTAAGTATTGTAGTGGGTAATGTCTTTATAGATTATGAAAATATCCAAAAAACCTTCAATTTGAGCTATACCTTCAATTGAATTTATTTGTTATTACAAAAATAAAGAATAAAGGTCAAAATTAAAGAACGTAATATTTATCACAAAATTGCTTTTTTTTATTTCAAATATATTACATTCAAGCCTATAAAATTACGAATTCAATGAGTCGTAGTACGCCTAGATCGCTTAATTTGTTGCTGAGATACGTTACTTAGTTTATACCATGACCTTTAACTTTAAATGCTTATAGGATTGCCAAAAAAATGGTTGGGGGCTAATTCTTATTTCATTCTCTTACTAAAGCCTTAAATTTTTATAATTTACTGGAAACTAAGTTTTTACCTCGTTAAAAACAATTGTTTCAGAAGTTGTAAAATAGTAGTTAGAAACATTTTGAGCTTCAGCGCCCCCTATGTACCCTACAAATTTCTAATTTGCAGATTATTGTAGCTGGCTTCGAGACGAAGATTAAAAAAAGAGCCTTCATCTACAGTCAATAGGAGCCGAGTTAGCTGGCGTCGTTCACTACTTAAAAACCAATATTTTCAAGTATTTTTATTTTCCTTAAATTAAAATCATTATTTATTGTTAAAAATGACAAAGTTTACCTTTTTTAAAGCGATGGCACATAAGAAGTGGTGGGGATGACTTTGCGCAACGAGAAAAAAACTGTATCGGAAAAATTTGCAATATCTCGGTGAAAAATAAACCGATTTTGATATTTTTTTTAATCTAAGGTAGCTTGTCGAAATAATAACATCTGAAATACTTTCACCCTTAAAAAAACACCCCCAACCCGCCTAAATTTTTTTTAATATTCAATTTTTTTTCAATTCTTTTACTTTTGCAATACTATTAAACGTAATATACTACCAAATTATTATTGAGAACATCCCCATGAAACATCCCCATTTTAAAAAAATTGAATACCTATTCTAACATAAATAGACCACTATTATTTCAGTATTTATCTTTTTTTTATATATATATATATATTTGAATCTACGACAAAAGGTCGCGGAAAACAGGACGCGAGACCAAAGGACGCGGAAAAAAGGACGCGCGAAAAAAGGACGCGCGAAAAAAGGACGCGTGGAAAAAGGACGCGTGGAAAAAAGGACGCATATTATTAATGAATTACTATAAATAGTTTATTTTAATTGACACTAGCCATTACCCCCTTTTTATCCCCATATGTTATTACAGAAAATGATTCTACCTAACCTAAAATCGGTTACGGTAAGAGTAAAAAGTGAAAAATAATTATATGAAAAAAACTTGCCCTCACATTTTATCGAGGCTTAGGACTAAAATATCTTAAGTAAAATAATAAATACTAATATAATGTTGATTCAAAATTTCTGGTATTGAAACAGGTTAGATTCCATATTATCAGAATTATGTATGGGATTAGAAAAACCCAAGTACCAGCCCACTAAGGGGTCTAATGAGGGTTTAACGCGAACCGGAAGGTTGGTAAATTCCGCAGGTAATGTTAAGAATGTAAATAGAAACGATTAGTAAGAAAATAAAACTTTCTATTTGTTTGATAATTGTTTTTAAGAAATGAATATTACAAAAGGTCCGATATAACAAAACATCATTAACCAAATTGTTTATATAGGGGAAACTTGTCGCGGTAGGTAATTTATTCTGTTCTTAACAAGAAAACATTTTACAAATTGATATCAGTCTGTTACGATGGTGTTAGCGTTTGTGAAAAGCCAAAAAGGCAACAACTTGTTACTTTATAATGGATTTCTCCATAAAAAAGAGCGAGTGATTATTGAAAAGACAATTTGGAAGTGTGCTACTTATAATAAGTGCAAATGTACAGGAAGAGTGCATACCGTTGTGGATGAAATTACAAAATCCACAGAACATAATCACGTCGCAGACACGGCAAAGATTGAAGCAAAAGAAGCTTGTAACCGGATGAAAGAAGTTGCACAACAACTGGAACACTCCACCCAAGGTGCAGTAAGTGAAATTTCTCAAGGACTTTCCTTAGCTGCTACGGCACAACTTTCATCAGTGTCGTCGTTAAAAAAAACTGTGCAAAGAGTTCGGAACGCGCTAGGAGGTACGCCCGCAAATCCGAGAAATTTAGAAGAACTTGTGCTTCCTGAAGAATATAAAACAACTACAGGCGGTGAGCTATTTCTATTATTTGATAGCGGCCCAGAAGAAGAACGTATTTTGTTATTTTCAACACAAAGAAATTTAACATTTATGGAACAATGCGATCATTAAAAATTAAACTTAAAAAAAGTACAAACAAATTAATATCAAAAATAAAACAAAAAAAATAAAATGACAAAAAAATTCCAAAAAAAAAGCAAAAAAAAACTTGTAAACACGCCAGCTTCTGCTGCCAGTCCTAAGCCTGGATAAAGTATGAAGTCAAGTTTTTTTCATATAAATATTTTTCACTTTTTACTTTTACCGTAACCGATTTTAGGTTAGGTAAAATCATTTTCTGTAATTATATATAGGGGATAAACGGGGGTAATTGCTACTGTCAATTAAAATGAACTATTTATAGTATTTCATTAATAATATGCGTCCTTTTTTCCACGCGTCCTTTTTTCCACGCGTCCTTTTTTCGCGCGTCCTTTTTTCCGCGTCCTTTTTTATGCGTCTTTTTTTCCGCGTCCTTTTGTCGGTATACCATATATTTAGTCTGCCTCTCTGTGTAATCTTTTATCAGTGAAAAATTATGTTAAAGTATAGTTCAAATGATTAAAATTTCTATTTAAAAACAATCTAAATTTCAAAAAAAAACTTCTACGAAGGATTATCAAACGTAAAAATTACATAAAACATTCTATACTAAAAGTGTTTTTAAACATTTTGGTTAAAAATTATCTTAGCTACATTTTTTGAAAAGAAGCGTAGGGATAAAAGTATTAAACTTGTTTGCTTTTAACTTTTGGTGCCAAAATTGACATTCACGGATTCAATTGGCCCGTATGATTCTTAGAAGTTCTGTGGTATTTTCGTGTCTAGTGACTGGAGTATTACATGGCGACCACAGGGAAGTGTCAATTTTTTAATATTTTTTGTTCACAGCAGCAATATGTAGGTTTGTAGTAGTAGTTTTATGTGAGTAATTTAAACATTGGAAAAAAATTAATCCTGTCGATCGGATAGCCAAGCGGGCTGGGCGGCTGCCTTCTCCTTCGCTTCAATGCGAGAGATGTCAGCTCAATCCCCAGCTCGGTGTACAGAAAACAAAAAGGCTAACGCAGCAATTGAAAATTCTAAATGAATCTGCGGCTTAGTCTAGAATATGCTGGTATCAGATCTGCCTAACATGAATCCTCATGGCTTAAAACACGAACACATAAAGCATTTTAAAGGAAGAGAAAGCCATTATAGTATAAATAAAACTAAGAAAATGTACACTATATACAAATCCGTTAAGGGTGCTCCTGTGCCATACTAAACATATCGAAAAATCTTTAATAAGCATTTTAACATTAGCTTCGTCTATCCGCGGAATGATACGTGTAGTGCTTGCGATCATTTCATGGCTGACCTTAAGAACCTTCACAATAAACTGAATGAAATAAATAATACCTCTAAAAAACAAAAGGTAGAAGTTGAGATGAAACGAATAACTTTGGCAAATTGCCTACACAAATTCAAAGTAGAAATATTCTATGAAAGAAAGAGAAAGGCAAGGAAAGCAGAGCCATGCAGAATTACAGAGAATGCAGAGAAATAACTCTGAAGCAGTCGCTATGGATTTTGAAAAATTTTATTCGCTCTAAATGTTTCATCCAACGATATCTACTATAAGACACAACTGACGCTTTACTCCTTTAACATTCATGTATTGTCAACAGGAAATGCTACATTTTATTGTTTTCCAGAAACCATAGGAGGCAAAAGTTCAAACGAAGTAGTGTCATTTTTGCAACAGTTTATCTTTGTTCAGCTTGATCAGCCAGTTCGTCACCTCCATATGTTTTGTGATTCATGTGGCGATCAAATTAAAAACTTCACTGTTTTCGTTATCTTCACTAAGAAAGTAATACTGTAAAAATGTTGCACTCAGACAAAGTAACTTTCCCAATACGAGGTCATTCTTAAGAGGAGTGCGATCGAGATATGGGTGTGATAAACCAAAAAATTATGGCTGAAATTCCTAAAGATTTTTTTTTATTTACATTTAAGATTTTAACAATCTGTTTTGCAGTGAAAATAATAAGTAAAGTAAATAGATAGATGTAAGGTCTAGTGACCAAATCATCACGACACAAATTGGCTTGTTTACCGGTAGGATGCGCACATACACTGATACGCGAGCTCTAAAAGCGGACTGATCACAATGGTTGGGTGCTGTTGAAGGCGTAACTCCCACTGCTGTAGGCTCTGTCAGGATCAGTGAGGTAGGTCCAAGGGCCATGTCGCTTCAATCTCTTCGCTTGTTGTTTGTTGAGAAGATTGTGTGCCAGGGTATTAGGATGCACCCGCAACCTGTTTTGATATTGTTCAGAAGAT